GGGGCTGTCACTGACAGAACGCCATCAGAAGACAGGGAGGAAGTGACAGAGGCTGGATCCACACCAGCAGGGACACGGTATTTTCTTAGAAACTCTCGTGAGACGAAACCGTGATCATCCTGCGAGGAAAGCACAACATCGTTCTGAGCAGGTGATAATGAATGGTCCGTCTTTCACTCTGCTTGACTCAATGTTTACTTGCGGCACAAGGCCAGTGATCTTGGGGATGACATGTGGATATTAAACAGTAAAGCCAGTCACATGCAAAGGTTTGGGTAGGTGTTGGTTTACACCCTGTTGAAAAAACCAGCATATGCTGGTTAGGTATGTTTTGAAGCAGTGGAGCTAAGCTGGTCCTGTGCAAGCTCATAACCAGCTTATAACAAGCTCAGGACCAGCTTAAACCAGCTCCCATGCTTCAAAACATATCTAACCAGCATATGCTGGTTTTTACAAAAGGGCAGTGCTCAGTGTTTATGTATTGTGAGTTGCTACCTGACGATCCTCATGTTTGGCATGAATTTCAATGAAATTTCCATTGATTTTCACTGACAGCTCCTCTGGTTTAAAGTGTTTAACATCCATATTTAGTGAGAAACAGTCCTTTTCCATTTTCATCTAAGAAAACAGGATTAATGACATATATTTAATAATTTGTCTAGTTTAATCTAATGTTCACAATTAGCACTTCAAATTCAAAAGAATCATTCATTAATTCATTTTAGACATTTAGATTTTTTCTGTTGTGACATTCCTTTCATGACGATTTCAAAAATTGCCCCCTAAATTCTTGTAATGTCAAAAGAACAAAAAACTGTATTATCCTGCAGACAGGACGGTTTTCATTACTATATTATATAGTTATAATATTAAGTGATAAAAATAATAATGTATATGTTACATTTCCATTTTTTCACATTACAATATCCTGTTTCCACAATGCAAAAATCCTAATAATTCTACAAATATGCTTCACTTTCTTCATGCAAAAATATTTCTCTTTTGATTTCTATATAAGTGAAATATGACCTGAACAGGGTTTTTTTTGTCAAATTCAAACATATAATGAATTCAATGAATTATGTTTTTTTGTTTTGTTTCCATCAAAACAGAACTGCTATACTTCACTGTGGCTTTTTAAAGATAGAGTGCTAGGCAGAAATCAATCAAAGCTATCGTCATGGAATAAATGCTCAAAATATTTATCCATTGGGATCATAGTTTAGAAAACGGCTGACACTAGCGCAGCTGCCATTAGAACAAAAAAAAAATGGTTATAGGCATCTCTAAAATAGGCATGGACACAGAGAATAATGAATTAAAACTTCATGTTAAATGGAAAACTTAAAATAACTATAAAAAAATCCACAAATAACATTCATTTTTACATGTCTCTTTGAAATACTTGGTTTTGATTGGTCAATTAAGGTCAAACGTGACCCTGGACCACAAAACCAGTCTTAAGTCGCTGGGGTATATTTGTAGCAATAGCCAAAAATACATTGTATGGGTCAAAATAATAGATTTTTCTTTTATGCGAAAAATCATTAGTTGTTCCATGTTCCTATGTTCCATGAAGATATTTTGTAAATTTCCAAAATTGACACTTAAGACTGGTTTTGTGGTCCAGGGTCACAAATATTAATGTCCACTAAACTGTTAACATATTAAAATGACTTCAAACACCCATTATTTATTAACTGTACAGTGGGGAAAATGTACAGCCAGCCATTATCATAAATTAAAACCCTTTAGGTAAATACGAGACCCCTCCGCTTTGCTTTAAGATCCTAAACACCCAGTTTATTTTGAGATAGTGACTTAACAAATTAGACACGGAACTACAATAATGCTGATGTTACAAACTGAATGTAGATTAACCGCAACGTTGACAAAAGTCATTGTAAACTCACCTCAGAAAGGCCGCTGTCCACCCAGCTTGGCCGGCGGAAAAAGGAAGGTCGTGGGTAGTACAGCGAGGGAATCATGTCGGCCTCAGAGATGGGATCCCCAAAGTGCTGGTCAAAGATCCGGCTGGGAAAGAAGGATGGCCAGAAGGAGCGACGGAACCAGGGATGCTGAATGGCGATGTCCATTTTGTGTCTGGGCCTTAGCAGCACTCAGAAAACTGCTGTCTCTTCTGCCTGCGCGCTTAAATAGAGCAACACCCTCGGCCCCTGGCAGACGAGCCAGCTGTGGATCTTTCTGGAATAATGATGTAAACTGTTTGCCTGGCTTTGCCTCTTTCACTTTGGCCCTCCCACTGTCCTGTGCTTGCTACCCTGTCTCCTCTTCCAACCATCACTCTCTGTATTTATCCAAAGAGCTGATCAGATTTCAATTCACTCAGATACCAACTGGATTACAGTGCAAGCCCCCAATAGTGCTGATGGTCCCTTGTGTTCACTGCACTGGAAACTGCGCTGAACCTGCCAATATTGAGGAAAGTCAGTCGTTGGTCGGCATTCCGGTGCTGGCTCATTTGATGCCAGCACAGATTAGGATGCCTATGAGGTGATGTGCCCGTGCATATTTAGGTTCTGAGCCCCTTTGGAGGTTTAGTCTTTACTGAATCTGACAGTGAATGTGGCTGAGATAACTGCGCCAGGCTAAACACCATACAAAGTCAATCCCCATGAACAAGCCCTTGGCTGGGCAGTGTGTTCAGGGCTTACTTGAGCTGGCACACTGACTGGACATCATGATTTTGGAGGGGTAAGCAGTCTCGGTCGCTGTGCTCTCAGTGAATATTTTATAATTTAAAACATTATTTTTGTGGATTTGGTGCCCTTTTAGTTCCCTGGACTTATTATTAGTTTAGCAAGAAAAAAATTACAGTACTGGACTTGGTAACATTATTTGAAAAAATTTGGGGTTGTAATCTCTCATGCTCACTAAGCCTGCATTTATTTTAACAACAACAACAACAAAAAAAAAAACAGTAATATTATTATGATTAATATTATTAGTTTAAAACAGTTTTCTCTTTTAATACTTTTTCAGATGTCATTTTTTTCCTGTGATGGCAAAGCCAATTTTATTTTATTTTTTTTGGAAACTGTGATAATTTTTTTCAGGATTCTTTGATAAACAGAATAATATTCTTTTATTTACTATTTCTTAGAAATTACTGCTTATTAATATTTGAAAAAAAAACAGTGTCGGCCAAGTCGGTAACTGCAACATGTAGAAAATAATAAAACAATAATACTGTGAAATATTATTACAGTTTAAAACTATTTTCTCTTTTAATACATTTTCATTTTAGGATTCTTTGATAAATAGAATAAATAAAATTTTAAAAGAACAGGATTTATTTGAAACCGACATCATTTGTAATATTATAAATGCCAAATAAATATGTTGACCAAACTTTTGAATGGTATAGTGCAACTCTTTAACTTACTGTCATGTGCAATGCAAAAGCTATTTAAAAATAAAATATTTAAAAATGTTTATTTTCAGTTAGAATATAATATTAACCAATTTCCATTCGATTCAACTATAATTAAGATTTGCATTATGCATTTTGCATTTATGCAATGCAAATTTTTACTTTTTATTGTTATTTATTTATTTATTTTTGCTGCAAAGAACATTTTGACTAATTAATATGGTGTAATGCTGTTATGAGGCTGATTCGGACATCATTTGTAATATTATAAATGCCAAATAAATATGTTGACCAAACTTTTGAATGGTATAGTGCAACTCTTTAACTTACTGTCATGTGCAATGCAAAAGCTATTTAAAAATAAAATATTTAAAAATGTTTATTTTCAGTTAGAATATAATATTAACCAATTTCCATTCGATTCAACTATAATTAAGATTTGCATTATGCATTTTGCATTTATGCAATGCAAATTTTAACTTTTTATTGTTATTTATTTATTTATTTTTGCTGCAAATAACATTTTGACTAATTAATATGGTGTAATGCTGTTATGAGGCTCATTCGTGTTATTTCATTTTATTTTAATGGTTTTTTTTCTTTTTCTTTTTTTTACAACTTTGAGACCTAGAACTGTTAGACTGTTTTGTTTTTTGAGTCTCTCACTAAACCCATTCACCATTTGCATTAGTGTACAGTATATGTCCTCCTATATGAGCTATGCAGGTCCACAGCGTTTACTACAAGCTATTTGTAGCAACATTTATCACTGTCCTGTCTCAAGTGCGCTATCTCTCTTCTCCTTTCCCCCGCTGTTCTTTCCACCCCTCTCCCTTTCTAGCCTTCCTGCTCCTCTCACACTCCGAAAATTAGTGTAACTGAAGTCTGTCAATCCAGTGAATTTTTCAGTTATCTAGTCAACCTGCTAAAGAGGTCAAAATGGCTGACCGCACCGTTCCTCATGCCTACCCAATGAGTATGGATTACGAGATGTGTTCACCCCCTCGAATCTATGATCAGAACTTTGCAGAAGGTAAGTCAAATTAGAGTCTTGAATATAATAGAAATAGACAACATTTTAAGGCAAAACATCCTGTATGTGTACATTTCTTGTATTTTTATATTGCTGGCTATCATGCTATGTCTCAATGACTTTAAAAATGCTTTAAAGCCGTTCTCATATATTTGATTTTAGCGGAAAAAAAATAATTTTGATTGTCATAAATGAGGGTCAGTCTATAGCTATTAGCTAATAAATATATAATTGTGAACATCCATATTGGCACTTGTACTATGACAGTATTGAAATGTGATGCCTCAGTAACAACTTATATTTAGAATTCCACACATGACATGACCAAAAAAACCTCTTGTCCTCTTCATGACTGATTATGAGCTGATCTTATCAAACAAGTTAGCAGCAGGTTTGGAGGCCAACTGTGAAAACACCACTCACTGTTAAGCTATAACAGAGCAGCGTAAAAATGCCACATGTGATAAGATTAAAATAGAAACTGTAAGTGCAACCTGAGTCTTGATCTGTAGCTGGCTTCACAAATTGTAAATAGACCTGACATGCAGATTTCCTGTGTCTTCTAGAAGACATTTCCAATTAGAATCTAGAGAGACAAGCTTTTCATGTAAAGTAGATACATTTCCATCAATAGTAGCAAATTGCTTCATGGTCAATGACATGATTTTAGTTTCTTTGTCTGGATTTTTTTGTTTCATTCATAAATATATTAAAAATGCAATACAGAGACTTCAATACACCTGTATAGAGGCATAAAAAGTTGTCAGTAATACAACTGATATCACAATGCTGAAGAAAGGCTTATTAAAATAATTAATTAAAAAAACTAATTAAGTGCTTTGGCATATGCATGTAGGGTAACTACCATTCAGCAACATGTAGAAAAAAATAAAACAAGAAATTTGATCGTTTTGTAATTTTATTTATATTTTTTTCATTCTGGAAGTATTAAGTAAAAATGTTAGCGTGATACAACTGTTCTGATATCACAATGAAAAAAAATGTCTTGAAAAGAAACTTAAATAATTAAGAATATTTTATTCAATATTTTCTTTTAAAAACTCTTTTAAGAAATCGGCTTCATTGTTTATTAATATTTGAAAAGAAAAACATGTCCACCAAGTCATGTAGTGCACAAAAACAAAATGTAAACAAAACATCAAATGATATCACGAGGTCAAAAGTCTCTTAAAATATGAGACACTTTGACATTTTTATGATAAGGCAAGGTTAGTTCAGGTTGTAAAATTTCACTTGGTGCAATTTATTAAGATTAGGATTATTCAAGGTGGAAGGAACACATATTTTAGAGTGAATACAAATTTTTTTTTTACCTTTATTTAACCAGGAAATGAATCTCTTGAAATTTAAAATCTCTTTTACAAGAGGGTCCTGGCCAAGATAGGCACCACATTTAGTTACACATAAAACAAAATACAATGATTTACATATACAGAAATATACACAAGTCACTCGAAACATTTACAATCAAATGACTCTAAAAATACATTTAAAATCAGTTAGTGATACCAACTCTTTTAAGCATAACTTATCTTGTAATTGATTCCAATCAAATGGAGCTGCATAACTAAATGCCCGTTGACCCATATTAGTACGAACTTTAGGGATGCTTAAAAGATAATAGCCTTGTGAGCGAAGACCATAATTCTTTACACCTTTTTGAATGATATTCTGCTGTAAATACGAAGGAAGTAAACCTAAAATGATTTTATATATAAATAAGTACCAATGCTTGAATCTATGGGATGACAACGCCGGCCAACCAACCCGAGAGTACAATAAACAATGATGAGTAAGGGCTTTTGAATTTGTGATAAACCGTTAATGCTCCATGATAAACCGAACGCCTGTAAACAACGTTTAGGTGCCTGCATATAAATGATATCACAATAATCCAACACTGACAAAAACATAGCTGCTACCAATCTCTTCCTTGCTTCAAAAGAAAGACAAGACTTAACTCTAAAAAAAAAAGGCCCGGTTTCGACTTTAATTTTTTCACAAGGTACTAAACATAAGGCCCAAAAGAAAGAGAATCATCGATGTATTCATATACATTTACACTTCAGTTTTTCAAAACTGGATGAAACCAAAAGAAACACAAAGAGTACTTTTTTTTTAGAACTTAGGACTTTAAACTTTATTAAAGGATTTTCGCAACATCATACGCCTGCTTGTTTCCAAGTTCAAAGTCTGACTGCAATTGGTATTCACTTACACTTTTCCAAGCAGGAAGGAGGAAATTTTAATATACCAAGCTGAATAGAATGCAGCATTATCATAAAATGTTTATATTGTGTTGTTTCCAATTTCATTATGGAGAGACAAATGACATGCCACTGGACGCATTGTGAGAGTATGATTAACTGAGATTATGATGTATTTTTTTGCCTTCTCACCTTCTCAGCACTGAGTCCCAAGGACCTTTTGACCCCTGTCCTGTACCACGGTTACTACATTCGTCCCCGCATCAACAAGCAGCTCGAGCGGGGCTTCTCTCAGGTAGAAAGTGAAGATGATTGGTATCGAGTTTTGCTGGACGTGTGCCAGTTCACTCCGGATGAGATCAGTGTGCGAACAGTGGACAACCTGTTGGAGGTGACTGGGCGGCACGCTCAGAGAATGGACCAGCATGGCTTTGTGAGTCGTGAGTTTACCCGCACATACATCTTACCAATGGGTGTGGATCCACTGCTGGTGCAGGTGTCTCTCTCACACGACGGGATACTGTGTATCCAGGCACCACGAAAAACTGAGGACCTGGAGCCTAAAATCAACCAGCTCAAGATTAAAGTGGACAAGAAGGAAAGCAAAAGTTAATCAAATGGACTTGATATAAGCAGGCATACATGGAATCCCGCAGAACTCTGTTGAAAAGTCTATGGAGTTGGATTGTCCAACACTTGCGTGCTCATTTATTAAATATTTTGGATATTTTGAAGAATTCGAAGTTCTCTCACTTGTGTTGTCTCACAGTTTGTTAAAATGCATTCCACAGAATTCTGCAGATTCCAAACTAAAATGAGTGCAGAAAAAGTCTACAGATTTCTTCTGGGTCTGTATATAAACTACAGGTCGAACGTTTGGAATAATTAAGATTTTTTAAATGGTTTTGAAAAAGAAAACAAGCAGCAAATTAATAGAGTGCAAGTCTAAAAGGGACAAGTGTTTTTTTAAAGAATAGAATTAGAATAGAGAGTGCTAGAGTTAGAGGGTCAAATAAAGATGGAAGATAAATAAAGTTTAGTTTAGAATGTAATTTATTCCTGTGATGTAAAGCTGATATTTTAAGCAGCCATAGTCTTCAGTGTCACATGATCCCTCAGAAATCATTTTAATGTGCTTATTTGCTAACAGTTTTGCATTTTTGCAACAATTTTGCCTCAGTTTAATATTAAAATAGAAAATGATTTTTAATTGTAATAATATTTCACAATTGTACTGTTTTACTGTATTTTTTATCAAATAAATGCAGACTTGATCTTTTAGAGGAAAAGTTCACCAAAAATGAAAACTTGCTGTTTATTTACTCACTCTCAGGCCTTCCAAGATGTAGGTGACTTTCTTTCTTCAATAAACTATTCCTTTAAAAACATTTAACAAAAAAAAAAAGTCTTAATTTTTCCAAACTTTTGAATGGTAGTGTACATTAGTTACTTCATTTATGGTATACGCTTTACATCAGGGAGTAAAACTGTACACACTGGAATTTTATGACGCACGTTAAGTTCCCTCAGGATAACCTTGCTGGATGTGTGGCCACGTGTGAATTTTTGCTAGACAAAAATATGTTTTCTAATAAACTTTTCTGTATAGCTGGCAAGTATTTAAAACACTCTTGCCTCCGTTTTGTTACTTACAGTTATTGCAAAAATGAAAAGGTCACCTGCCATTGGTTGGCTATAAAGCTAGTCCTGCCCCAAAGTTGTGCCATTGGTTGAGCCACTGTTGCTGTGTTAAAGTTGCAATGACTTGGTTCTATCCATCGGTTTTTAATTGGATGGATGCAGATCTGAATGTGAGTTTGAAGTAAGAAAGCAAGCGCAGCAAACATCATTAAAAAGAAGTTATGACATTTTGAATAAAAATTCTGAGCTTAAAAAAATCTCTTTTATAAAATGCCTTGAGAAAATAGTGAATTTCCATTTCATGCTGCTGACTTTAGGCTAGTCGGGATGCTCAATAAAAGAAAACAACGTTTTGAAAGCACTATAGGATCACAGTGTTTACACTTTTCTGGGAAATCAGTCTACCATTGTTTACTTACAGTTCTCTCTGCATATTAACCGGATCTGAGAAAGATTTTATCATCGCAAACTTACACACTTCAGCTTTAATGAATGATTTAAAAAAAAAAGACTAAACAAGACATAACACGTCACTTAAAAATGATTATAATTGTTTAACTATTTACATGTACATGTATGAGGATATTACAATACAGATACTGTACAATGCAAGTAGTACACAGTAAGTCCAATGTAAACCAAGAGTTCTCTGCAGGGAAATGGATCTCTTGTTACCTAGCCACTATCATTCTGTTCATGAATGAATGACTGGAAAGATATACAACATTAAAGATATTGTCAAACATTCATGACCTCAAGGTCAGCCTCAACGATAGGGGCGTTGCAGCTCGAGGTACAAAGGTAGCTTTCTTTAAGAGCAACACCTGCAGGACTCCAGTTACAGAGGAACAAGGAAATGGAAAATGAGCAACTGATCAACTCTAGGCTATCTGTGCACTGACGACGATCTCTGCCATGGGGAGCAGTTTAACCAAAACAATAAATAAGTGAGTAGCCAAACATTTGCATGTTTAAATTGTTAAACATACTGGGCACAGTTTACAGTATTTACTCAAATGCCAACAGGGTTCTATGACATGTGCTTGTTTTATAGCAGTAGGATTCATTTGTGTTGCTAAATGTTCTGTTCACTATTTAACACAAATGTGAACCTTTAAGTAGGCCATTCTTTGAGTTTGAATGCTTAACAAATGCTGTTGGTGTTCATAAGGTATTGTATTGTTCAGGAAAGAGGGAAATGTATTGTACCGTATTAGCATTTAACAGGACAAAGAAGTATAGGAAGCTAAATATTCTTCCTCTTAACCCTTGTAAAAAAAGAAGTACACTACATTTAATAAGAGTGCTTATTACTTTGAAAGAATGTACTGTGCATACTGAGTGTAATGTTTTCAGACACTTAATTTCATGTTATTTACAATTAATTGAAAATGTATTATAGATTAGGTTCATATTAAATGCTATCTTAAAAATGTGTTTTGACCCACTTAAGTAGGACTTAAGTGCATCTTTAGATGTAATTACGTCTATTGTCTTTGAAATATTGTTAAAGTCTGCCGAATGTACTGACAAATATTTATGGTAAATAAAATGTATACTAAAATGTAATTTCTGCTGAAACTTGTATGTCATGTATTTAAATACAGCATATGTAATTACACATTTGAAATGAAGTAACTTCAAATGTAAAATCAAATAATACACTACAGTTAGTTATAATCAAGTATTTTGTGCTTTAGCATGTAAGTCAAATCAAAATAAAGCATGACAAGATTATTTAAAAAAATTAAAATAGCCTTTAAAGTAAAACTTTTAAAAGGTGTACTTAGGTTATTAAGAATATTGTCATGAAAGTGTGCTCTCTTTAAGAACATTCAAGTGGCCTTTTATTTCATTAATATTTTAAATAAAAAAATATATTTAAGATTTGAAGTGCACTACAAATGCACATTCAGTATAGTTAAACGCAGCTCTTTTTCACAATGGAAAAGTCTATCAATTATCAACTTAATTTAGGGGACTACACTACAGAACAAATAAACCAACTTTTATTTAAATTGTAGTATGTGCTTTTTTTCTTAGGTGGAGAATAAATCCAAGAAAGCTTTCACAAAAACAGGCAAAAAGAAAAGGTAACAAAACACAACAAAACAAAAGCTCCATTTATGAGATAATAAATTAAAAGGATTCTCTAATTAGCAAAACAATGTTTATTACTTGCTTATCCCATTGTTGTAATGTTGATTGCTATTCAACAACGTACATCTTTACAACAGGTCCACCTGTGGTTCCTTCCCATCAGGTGTGTTGGTTTAACTGGTCACTAAAAAAAACTTTATGCAAATATATGCAAATGTTTTTGTGACAACAACTTTTTTTCACAGCAGGCCCGTGTTGATGCTCACACGTATGACCTTGTGTCAGCTGAACCACAGTATGCCCAGGTGAATAAAAAACGGAAGCAGAATGAGGATGGTTTACACTACGCAGAGATTCAAGTCCTACAGTCTGAAAATGCGACCAGCAGAGGAAAACTGAAACAGACCTCAAACTACGACAACACGGAGTATGCAACCATAGACTTTAAAACTACTGTGAACATACAGACTTCAGCTGAACCTGCAGATTTATTCATCCCACCTGGAGAACTACAGAGACCAAACATGAGCTTTTCCCACAGGAAGAATGTCCACTCAAAGCGAGCAGTTATGGCGTGAACAAACAAAACCACATTTCTGTTTATTTTTGTATATTCTATCCTGCTGTATTACTATTGTGCCTTTGAACAAGGCATTTAAATGTGAAATTTGTACTCAAGTGCCATAAAGAGGTTGTTTGTTTAAAATTTATAGCCTATGATATCATTTCTGCAAATAAAAATGTATTTCTAACATTCATAGTACATTTGCAGCCAATTGGTTTATTAATTGAAAGTACATTTATAGTAATCGCATTCTTGTGTAGCCAGCTAATGTCAGGTTCACTTTGTGGTTTATTCTGACTATGGGGTTGTAGTTGTGTTCTCTGGAAAAGATTTCTAGTCAAGTGAAAACAAAAGAAGTTGTTGCCATGACTCTTTTTTTTTGTTTTTGTTTTTTTGTTTTTAAGAAAACATACGTTTTTTTTTATTTATTTTTTTTTATTTTTATTGCAATTGAAAGAATAACAACATCCGGCCCTGGAGATTTATTGTGTGGCTTTCTTTTTACTATGTTATAAAGATCATCTATAGTAAAGGGTTCCTCACAAAGTTCTCTGTTGTGGTCATTAATTTTAGGAATCACAGAATGAACTTTATGAAAAAATAAAGATGAAGCATTAAGATCAAAAGAAGAGGTGTATAGATTTTGATAAAAGTTAGAAACATGAGAAGAGATCACGGAGGGGTCATTAGATAATGTATTATTAATATATAGAGAAGAGATCCTCTTATTACTTCCACGTTTTGTTGCCATGACTCACCAACACAGTTTCAGTAAGCGGTTGCCATCTTGGAAATGACATCATGACAGGGTTTATCAGTGTGTTCCTGCTTCCAAGTTGGAAGTCCAACCTCCGAAGTTCCAGTTGTTATTTTGGTCTAAAACGTACCATTACGGTGTCTACCAGCAGTGGCAAATTGGATCATGCTTATGAATGATATTCAAGTTCTTTGTACACATTACATAATTGATTATATTCATTCTCTATAGAATATGAAGATAAGGCGATAACATAATAGGGTTTTATTGCTGTGTCTAAAAAAAGAACACCCTTTCACTCACTCAAATGGCATACAGAGCTGCTCAAAATCTAGAAGATCATGTTTTGCTTCATGGTTTGCCTCTGTTATTTCTTGTGGTCGGTTAGGATACAGTAATATTACACAACAACAACAAAAAGTCCCTTGAAATAATGTTTAGGCCTACCATAGACCGTATACTGCACTCATAAAACCAAAATAACTATTCTAAAATTCAATAGGAAATTCTTCAGTTTTGCTGATTCCGTGTTCAATATTAATATTGAATTGCAACATTGATTAAATGTTCTGTTGCTATTTATCCTACAGGACCACCAAAATTTGCCTTGAAGAAGAGGCTTTGTAAGGCATGTGAAATGTACTGTCTCATTAAATAGGAATGCATGCCCTCTGCTGTTCATAATATCAGAACCCTGATTTTATTAAAGTAACAACGTGTGAGGAAAATGGTTACTTTTTGACGGCAAAAAAGCCATACTCTTCACTCACTATGTCTTGACTACTAATAA